TGACGGGATCATGCGCGTGTACGGTCATTGAAATAAACATTGCATAAACGACGCGCGACCGTGCAGAGTTGGCTTCGAGTTTTAAAACACCGAACATTTGAAAATTTATAATTTCGCACGTCAGCGTGTCGCGGCTCGAAACCACCGACGAAGTGGACAGAGTGAAAAACAGTGACAGAGTAAGAGAGAGAAGTATGTAGACGTATGAAAGAGAAGCAAAAAATAATTTTGAGTCGTTGAAACAAAAAAAAAAAAAAAAAGAAGAAAAAAGGATTAATTAAACCGAATCTCGACGAACACATATTTAACTAGAGCAAACTATACATCGTATCAATATCAACGCTAAATATTTCATTTTCGCGCAAACATAAATACATGGCCTATCGAAAAGAATGTTCCTCGAGCGCAGCGGCGATTTTTAATTTTAGCGCGGCAACTCGCCCGAGAAGGATTCGTTGCTTTAATATAATTTATCCAGTTAATTTTATACACGTCGGAGCCGGTATCATTATACCCGGGGAATATATTTTAATTACGTGAAAAGCTAATTTGAACGTTAATGCATTAGCGTGAAGCGAAGAAGCGAGCATTCGGCGCGTTACGCGATGCTTCTCCTTTGCGCTACTGCGCCGTAAACGTAAATAATAATTATTCTAATGGGGATGAATCGTGTGTGAAAGGATCGCCGACGTTTCTCCATTATTATTTTCCGCTGGATTTCTAATTTTTTTTTTTTTTTTTTTTTTTTTTTTTGATTCATTTAACTCGGTCCAATTCGAAACGAGCGCGGGCGTGTACACAAGGCAAACGCATATCGGTCGATGTGTAAGTGACGCTTGGATTTCATGCAAAAAAGAAGATGAACTGTAATTAAACGGGAGTGTTTTAATGTGATTTTAATTGAAGATGAAAACGATCTGTCTAAATTTAATGATAGGATTATTTTGAAAATTTTTTAAAATTTGATATTTAAACACTAAATTCATTTTTTAAATCGAATGTACAAACAATATGGAATTAATTTTAGTGGATCTTAAAACTATTTCATTAAAAAACACACTAGTTCTTTCCTCGTAGTTTCGATCATTTTCCAACGGTATTGAATTTTAAAATTTTTCATACAAACGCTGCAAAATGTAATTAATTAGATGTTAATGATAGTATTATCGGATTTGATTCATCTTATTACAGATGGTTATTAGAATTTTTTATATTTAATTTCATCGTACTTCGTATTTTGTATTTTGTTCAACGGAAATCGACAATGAAATAGAGTCTAATTAAAAAAAAACTCCAAAATTAAGCGGTATAAAGCTTAAATCGTTGTGGCCGGCCACTCCCGACGCTAGTTAGGAGTTAATCTCTATGAAAAGTCCTCGACGAACAGCTTCTAACAGCGAGAGAAATTCCCGACAAAATAATTCCCTAATTAATATTCCCGCTGGCCAAACAAAATTCTCGCGCCGGCTGGAGAAACCAATCGACGCCACTTTCTCCCGATCGAATCTCGTTAGCAATCCCATTAAGCGCGACGCCTCCCGATTCCACGATCGTCCTGCCCGTTTCCCGAATTATACACACAATCGTTAATAGGATCGACGACAGGATAATAATAGCGAAACTCTCGCGTCCGCGCGATAATACCAATCTCGGCCTGGAGAAGAGCACGACGAGCTTTCGTACGGGGGTTGGTTAGGTTAGGAGACGGATAGGGGGCGGGGACGAACTCTCATTTTTTGGACGAGCGTCTTTAATTAAGATCTTCCGTCGAAATTTCCCCGGCGTATTCGGTTTCTGGGGCTCGGGCGAAAGCCGCCGCAATTCTCGATAAACCGTGCTGAAAGGAAACTCGTTAAAAGCAATCCAGCAGCGATCGAATCGATCGTTTTGCGCCCCGCTGGAAAACCCCGCGAAAGAACCAGGCGAAAGTAAGAGGATGGCACGAGGGACAAAAAGAGAAACGTGGTGAATTAAAAGAGGACGCTTTGAAGGTGGGAGGGGAGGTGGGTGAAAATAGAAAAAGAGGATGAGCAAGAAAAAAAATATTCTTCGGTCGAAGTTATTCTTGCTTTAGGTACAATAGAACCATTTAGGTTGAGATTTGTCATGCAATTTATTTTTATTGATTGAAATTCGGTCACACAAATAACTTTGGTGCGATCTACATTTGAAAATAGAATACTTGTGGGAATACTTGTGGGTAGAATACTGTGAAATTAACTTGCGTTATAAGAACGTTAAAAGAAAAATTGGACCAATGCTAATATTTTTAATTAATTCTGGAAGTTATTTTACGAGTATAACGAAAAATAGATGTTATCTACTTTAGTCATATTCTTACTATGTACTCGTTATCATATCATTTATATATTTATTTATTCGTATGTGAAACGAATGAATTTATTTTATTCAAGCATACACTATTGTATCTTTATCATATACTCATTATCACACTATTATTATAAATAATAGTAATAATAATAATTATTATTATTATAAATAATAAATGAATACATACGAATTCATTTGTATGTATTCATTTGAAAACTGCATACAGAAAAACAGAAGAGACAAACTCACTCATATTTGATATTCAATCTCGTCTCTAACGTATACGCGTTTGCAGATGTGAACGCGATCGTGTTCGTGCGCGCGGGCTGAATTTGTGCAAGTAGTGCCGAGAGTGCATCGGTGTACGCGAGAGTACTTTGCGAACGAGAAACGTTGGCTTAACGGCGTGCGTTTGGAAACGAAAGGAGAGAGGACGAGGAGCGAAGGTGGAGAAACGACGGGTCGAGGGTGGTAAGGTTTGAGAAGCAGAGGTAAGCCGGCGCTTATATTTAATTAAGGAGGATACGGGCTCGAGCGAGAAGAGAGAAAGTCGCGATGGCTGGAAGAAACTCCTAGGTGACGAGAGAAAGAGAAAGAGAGGGAGCGAGAGAGAGAGAGAGAGAGAGAGGAAGCGAAACAGGTCTGCGCTTCTTGTCTAATTATCTACCCTTTGCGTCCTGCCAGCCACGTTCACTTTCTACGTCTGCTATCTGCCCGCGTGATTCGCACCACTTGTCCCTTTCCCCCTTTCTCCTCCCGATTTCCGTCCAACTTTCCGCGTTCTTCCCGATGTCTGATTTCGTTTCTGCTCTCTCGGTACATCTACTCCCCTTCCGTGCTTCCGTTTTTCGTTAATTTTCTTCCGTTCCCTTTCACGTTCGTTGGCCCATTTCTTTCCCGAACTCGAAACGATCGCAGAGATCCACTCCCCGGCCAGACGACACTCGGTTCTTTATCTCTCGGCTCTTCTTTTCTTTCCATTTTTTTTTTTTTCACCCTCTCTTTTTTGTCTTCTCATCTTCCCGTCGACTGATTTCGTCGTCTAGAAAATTCCGAATCGAGACAAGGAGTGTCTCGTACATTGCGTTCGAGCTTCTTAATTAAATCATTCTCTCACTTGCTCTCGCAAACGGCTCGCTTTACGGTATTACGGGCTAAGGTCGGATTATTTTAGTTGCCCGATATTAATAATATTGAAGTTTGCTTTTTGAATTACACCCCAATGTAATGATGAAACAGTGTGAAAACATCGCGTAACTCAGGTTCGGCGAAAGAAACGTGTGGAAGGCGAGAAAATAATTTGAACAATCCTAGGATATACGAATTGACAAAGTACATGACAAAAAGCATTGTTTAATTACACAAATGAACACATTCATACGAAATGAACGTAATCATCGAATCAATGAGAATCACTCTACAGAATCCTGACTTCCAAGATTCGAGAGACACTGCTTGTAAAAGCATCTTACGCGAATCTCCCAAACATGGAAGTACTTACGAGCACGTATACGAAACCTGTGCTCGTTCCAAAGTTCGAAATCGGCTAATGCGTTCAAACGAATTACGTGTACTTCGTCGAAACGTTCTCACCTTCGAACAGTAATTAAAAACGCCTGAAACGAGACCTGGACGTCTAACTTGGCTCGGATTCGTGGGTAAGTACATATTGGACTTGATTCCGTCCCCAGTGTACGCGTGCAATGAAGGGTAACACCTAGGGAGGTGTAGAGTACACGCGTGCATACACGTATGTACGTACGTGTATGTATATATGCGTACATACGTGGGATACAGAGGACACGGTGCTATCGGCACGCAATTACGAGAGGGACCGAGCACGTTTGCGGAGGTCACACACGGGACAGAGAGGCCGCTCCTCTCAGGCTCTCTCCTCTTTCGCCTGGCTGGCTAATACGCGAGACTGATGCGATGCCTGGCGATACGACCGTGGGACAAGGAAGGGTTATAATCGTTTTAAACGGTTGCGCCAGCCCTGATTAAGGATCGTCGATCCTCTTAGCGGAGCCGCCGCTGGTGCTACCCGCGGGCTTACGCTGTTTAGACGACGTTCCCCCTGTCCTATTTAGTTTGTTTTATCATGAGACCGCGACACCGAGGTTGGAGAAAGAACTGTGATAAGACGCGATTTAAAGGCTGTTACTATGGGAATATCAAGGGCTGTGATTGAAATACAGTAAGATCTCGTTTAACGTCATTTCAATCGACACTGATTCGATATAACGTGGTCTCTTCTAGAGTCAAAAAAAGCTTTAAATCAATATAATGTTACCCGTAACGCGTCGAAAGCTAGCGATTTGCGTATATATTCATACATGTTTCTTCCTCTTTTTTTCTTTACACGTACGCATGTATGAGTAATATATAAGTTTCGTAATTAAAATTAAAATGAAATTTTTTTTATTCTTAGTCGCATATTTCTATTTATCCCTATGTGCCAAGATGACTTCATTTAATATTTAAGGGCATATCTTGAGCGTTAATCAAGTTATTACTGTAATTCACATCTCGAGTATACGAATAAATATCTTACAATTCTTGTAATTCAGTGTTATATCTTTTCTCATTATATCTTTCTCAGCTGTAAATTTATATAACAAACACTTTTAGTTCCATACCTACAGGATGAAAATTTATATTTCTACCTATTATTGACTGACATTATTAATCTTGAAGTTACTGCGAGATGTATTATTATCATAACCACTTCCAGTTAATATATGAGAATCAGACCTATTTGATGCGTTCTTATTCTCTGCGATATTCTTAGGGTTTAAGATGTAACTACCGTTGTTAACTGCATTATTCAGAAATCTATTAGCAAACGCGTTATTATTAGACACCCCACGTTCTCTGCGCCAGTTTAAAGTATAAGGCCACCTTCTCTCGAACGAAGATTCATTTTTGCTTTTTATGGCATGAAGTGGATAAAGAAGACCCGCTGACCTCAATCCAGAAAAACCACTTCTCGTTTCCTGTTGCTGATGCTCCTCGTCTCGTTGGCTCAACTTTTCTGGAAACAAAAATACATCATAATTCCATAGAAGTTTCATCCGCTTCTGCAGGACACAGTTTCAAGAATAATTTCCAAATTACCTCGTGACGCAAGAGGTTCCAGGAAATTCTCAATGGATCTCTTATTGTTACTCAAAGAGTCGAATATCCTTCGTAATATCCTCTGATAAGCGGTTCTGTTCTGGCCGGCCGAGTTCAAAACGTTCGACACCACAGAGTTCATCAAACTCGTGTTCGTCGATCCGTCGGCAGGCACCACGTGCACCAAATGCTTCTGTCCCGTCTGATCAGTTCCAAGGATCAACTTTGGTACCAACTGCCTCGTCCTACTCCCACTTTCCTTCGATCTAACATCCTTCGAAGATCCATTCAAATTTTGCTTCTCGTTGATTAACCTCACCTCTGGACGTTGCCTTTTGACATTCTTCAATTCGCCCTCCTCCTCGCCATTCCTCCCAACATCCTCTCTCTTGGGTATCAGTACAGTCGTGCTCTCCAGATTCTCTTTAACCTCGCTTCCAACAGCATCGTCCACGCTCGAGTTTCCAAGAACTCGTCTCTCGGGCAACGAGTTTCTGTCGATGTACGACCAAAAGTTCCCCGACTTCCCCTGGCCGGGAGGATCGTCTTCGACGTAAGCGGTGGCATCGTTACGGTAACTATGCCTGTCATTCAAGTAGGTATCCCGCTCGCCTTCCGAGGTCACGTAGACGTACGACTGCGACCACAGGCTCCTCATGTGGTAGCTGCCGTCTATCTGCGGCACGATCGTCAGCTGAAGATCGTGTCTTGTGGCGCCGTGCGAGGAGATCCTCTTGATTCTCCGCAGCACCCACTTGACCGTGGGGTGCGTGTGGTCGACGCACGCCCCGCACTCGGTGCACCCTTGCTGGCAGAACAGCCAATGGCCGTTCGGCAGGTGATAAACGTGGCCGCGCGACAAAACGACCGAGTTGTCCGTGCTGTTCGAAACGATGGGAAAGGGGCCGTCGTAAAACGGTGCCTCCAACAGACGTTTGTACAACTGGTGATTACGCGATGGAGAGATCGTTTTAAACACGGAGTCTCTCAGGATGTGCTCCCAATAGGACTGTATACTGAACGACGGATTCGACGTCGAGACGAAATGTTTTGAATTTTGAATCGATCGCGTCTGCATGGCCGTGCAAATTAGTGAAAGCTGTGGAAAGAATTTATTTCGCGATAGATGATTAGGTGGTAAAATTGGTTATCACTGATATTGAATATTATAAGAGTGCTGTATTTGGGAGAGTTACTTTTCGAAGAGAAGGAACAAGCATTTAGTAGGAACGTATTGTCAATATTCGAGGATTAAACTTTTCGAGAGTTATATTTAAAAGAGAGAACTGTGCATTTTTTTTTTTTTTTTTTTAAAGAGGGTATTTGGAAGAGTTGATTCTAGAAGATTATTTCTGTTAAAATGTAGTACGCGAGGAAAGTACTGAATATTTCTTTGAAGATGAAAAGTTTGATAGAATTAAATATTTCTCAATGATAAAGAATCTTACAACGTTGGGAAACTTTGTGGCTTGTACATTTTCCAATATTCCAAGACTCATTGTCAGTACAAAAAGTAGACCGACAAAGTATTAGAAAAATAACAATAAAAGTGTCAGAATGAAGACAGAATTGTTGGAAAAAAGAAATTAACACAGTATCATTAACAGAAATGTATCGACGTTATTAGAACTGTAAAACTCAATATCCTTGTGTTAAAAATATTCGCAACGTCGTTCGCCAGAGAGAGTATTTCACAAAAGAGAGATATCAATCGAATTATTGATTTTCTCACTCACCATTACCATCGAGACAAGGTTCCACTTTGTCGGATTCATGTTTCCCTCCCTCTAATCACGCTGTGACAGTGGAAACAGAGCGGAAGGTAAAGAATTAAAGAGAATTCATGATGCAGTCGTTGTAACGTGTCCAGCAACTGGCGGACGACTGAATCATACAAAACTCATGACCAACTCCTGGTCGAACATATGTCAGAGATTATATTATGGTTACCTGGACACCGTCTAAGAAAACTGAGATTACCTACAGTTAAACATTCGATCCGCGAATCCAACAATGTTATTCAAACACGCTGGTCAGCTCGGATTTATCGTGTGTAACTTTAGAATACGGTGCGTGGAATACGTTTAAAAGATTATAGAACATTTGTACTTGTCGGTATTGTTCTTTAATTTTTGAACGACTGAATGTGGAAATAAAAAAACCTTGATTTATACGTAATGCATAGGCTGCAGAGATTTATGCAAATAAAACCTCGGTAAAAATGAGAATTGTTCTATTTATTAAATGAACCACACTTCGAATATATTGCACATTCTTTCACATGACGTGCACTCTATGTAATTTCGCACTTTAAAATTTTAAAAATAGCATAAAAATTCGCAATCTACACAATGTTCACCGAACAATAATAATATACTCATCGAGCTACGAATGTAAAAAGAAGAAGAATATCTGGTAAATTAATTTATCACCGTGAATATCTAGTAAATTAATTTATCACTGTGAACCTTTTACTCCTTAATAGTAGCGCAGATTTACCATCGAATGTTTTTGTTTCGTTCATTCCCCCATTAATTTATACCCAGTGTTACTTTACGCGATAAATCTAAACTTAGCGGCTCGAAAAAGACCTCGTAATAGGGATTATAACGCCTGTTACAGCCACGTTTACAAACTTCGATTAATGACTAAAGTTTCAGAAAGTTCCCCATAGAACGGCGTGGCACCGATAAAACGAAATTAATCGTTTTCCGTATCGGCGAAATAAATATCGGCGATCGATAACCCGTGCGTTGACCATATCCGATAGACATTGCAAACGATCGACAATGTCATACGGCTGCGTCAGGTATAAAATATGTACGTCGCGAACTAATCTGCGTTTTGATCGTGAATTTGTTTCTATTCCGCGATAGGGAACCCACCTGTCACGCACGGTCAGATAAACGGTTTTACTATGCAAAGAATGGAACACGATGAATTATTGTTTCATTAATACGACACGCCGGTAACGTAACACACACGACACAGGTTACTGCGAACAGACGCGTTAATATTAAAAGTGAATGGTTGTTGCATTTTTCACGATGACAAACGTTTCTTTGTTTCGGCTCTCCGACACACCGGGCGTTCCACATTTAGATGATGAATCGCATAACACGGTCCTCAGAATGTTTTTAACCGCGAGGACAAATATATATATATATACATGCATGTATGACGACAAAATAGCTGAAAAAGTTCTCAGCTTTTATTGTTTGGTCTTTGGACCAAAGAACTCACGACCGTATATATGTATAATTTGCAAAACTTGTGAATTATTTTGAATATTTTTACTATGTGACAGTAAAAGAGGTTCTTTGTTTTCAGAAAAAAAGTAGAAATCAGAGCGAAAGACCTATTTAATTTTTATATTTTTGTACAGGTCAAGACTGGAAATTTAATTACGTAGGAGGAATTTTAGAATGGTTACGAATTTTCGAATATTTTCGAGTAATTAATTTAACTTTTTCTTAATTTAATTATCTTTAATTTAATTCGAATTTAAAATAACAGAGGTTGGAAAGTTTAGCTATGAGAGGGCGATACTTGTCGATAATATACGTGGCGCTATCTTTAGTTCGTTCATAGAACTTAAATAGGGGTAGAAATAATCGAAGTCGTATATTTTCTGTTTAATACAGATAGATATGTTCACATTTGCTTATTTGCACTTTTAATGTGGACAACTTCAAATTGTGGACTTTTCTCTCTTGTGATTCGAAAATTTTCGAACTCGTAGAAATCGAGGCCTGTCATTATAAATCTAAGTTCTCGAAATTCACCTTCTCAACAGCCAGTAACTCGTCTGAGCACATACCTTGTATCATTGATCGAATCACAAAAGAAATATATAAACAGACTTTGTATCTTATGAAACTTTGTATCCCATGCTCTGAAATACCGACATAGCAAAAACCATGATTTTTGCTAAAAAAAAAAAAAAGGGTGAATTGGAGAACTAAATCAAATAAAAAGATCAAAGTTGATTCAGTGGTGAGACATGATTTTTCAAAATCCATTACAGTGTTATCAAATTTTCAACACCGAAACATAAAGCTGGTAACTAACCGAAATCATTCTGCTATATATCAGAGTTATATAAAAGTATTCTATCCACGTTTTACAGTATTACGTATGGTATATACATGGCACATGAGATTATTAAATAATTTTAAATTTATAATAAAATTCTGCATTCTGAAACTCGTAACAAAGTTAGTAACTGATAGAAAGATGTATATTTTTCTAGCAGTATTTTCAGTAACGAACGCAGTAGTAAAGGATGCTGAAAAAGAAAACCTAACCAGAAGAACTGCTGACAAAGAAAATCTAAAACAGTAGTCAGAAGGATTACTGAAAAAGAAATCGTGATAGTAGCCAAAAGAGCTACTAAAAAATAGGCATTTCCTACTCAATAACCAGAAGGATTACTGTACAATTATCTATACGTTACGAACCCGAGTCAACCGTATCTTGTTTCGCAACACTAATTCACAAACACTAATTGTGAAATAGGAAATTTTTAAAATCAAACGCGAAGAGTGCTTCGTCATATTTAAAGCGCCCGAAAATAAATATACAACGCTATTAATCTATGCACTCGTTTTCAGAAATACGCAACACTAATTATGATACGTCCAGTGTAACCATGCTGAAGGTTATTGATGAGTGACCACCTATGCAGCTCTTGTAGTTGCATCAGAGGATCCAAGAGCAGGAACAGCCTTCCACGAATCCAGTGGAAGAATTTGGGCATTTTGTAAATGCAACGTTACTTCAAGAAACGCGATCAATCGTTATCGCAATACTAAAAACTAAAAACTAAAACTGTAAAACTAAATTCAATAAAAATTATTATCAAGAATACAAAAAGCTACTTCAAATATACTAAAATTATTTCAAAGCAATAACTCTCTAATTTAATTTAGAATTTTACTACGTAAAACTTTAGGACAACTTTAAAAATTGCAGAAGACAATCGTGATATTGTAATTCGCAACTCTAAAGCAAACACGATCATAATTTCTTTGCAACTCTAATTTAAACCGTAATCAATTTCTCGCAACACTAACAAGAAAAGTCGCGTTTTGTCCAAAACGATGATGAATAACAATGAAGAAGAAGAAAAAAAAAATACAACTACAAATACTAAAAGAGCATAGTGACAAAGTAATAACGAGAATGACTTCCCACGCTCTGGAATCATTTAAATGATCGAGAGGATGAGGAGCCATTTGTTGTGACCCTCTTCGTGGCAGTTTGCCGGGCCTCTTCGGCTTCTAGCCTCTTCTTTTTTCGAGCGCAATGCCCGCTCTTACATCTAGCTCGAGTCTTTCTAATCGCAAACCAAAAAATAACTTATAAAGGTGAAATGAAAAGATAAACCGCGGAAGCTGACCTCAATACACATTGACGACCATCGATCATAGTGATCGTTGTCCGTTCGCACGTGTGTGCTCGAGCAATGCCTACATAAACGTTCGTTTCGGGACCTACTCGCGACCTGTCCACGACCGCGATCGCGGTACTAAATTCGAAAAATCGAAGAATAAAACAAGAAACAAGTGGCATGCTCCATTTGTACCAATTTCACTGTCGATTTTTCAAATTAGATTTCCTGAAACAGGTTGGACACGCGATAAGGGAACACGCGACCAGAGACTGTGCCAACCTGCCCGGCCCTACCTACTTATAATTAAACACAGGCACACCAGAAAGTAAGCTACCTATCCTAATCAATCGCCCTATATTTAAAAAATGGCAAAAGACAGGCACACCAACACACTCACTCCACGGTTCTCACACATACCACTCGGGCGCAGACCTAAACTAGAGAGGACATCCCGGGACGCCTCCGACACCCGAGCTTAACATACAACTTTCACACTCTAATTTACGTACCATTTTCCTGAAATCGACTGACAATGGCTAGCGACCATTGCGTAAAACGTGATTAAAACACGTTTTTATTTACAGCTACATATGAAATATCAATAACTAAGGAAAGATGCATAAATACTATAGAAATTACATGTACAAGTTAACTTGGAATCATAATTATAATTGATAATATAGTTATAATAATAACATAATTATAGTTTACAGCGTAGTATTTATTACGTGATATGACAATATATTGATAATTCCTTAAATTAGTGCATAAATATTTTAAATATTTCAAATTATAATGAATGGAACAGTAGAAACGACGCAACTCCACATCCTAACCACACACACATATGAGGAAAATACGTCGTGCACGATACGTTAACACACTGTCAGTCGCTGAGAAGTCTTTTATAAAATTACAAACTATGGTCATCATGTTCAATGTCTCTCACCCACCCAAGTAGCACCTGGGCACGTGAGTGAGATCCTGACAATGAACATGGAAGGGATTAAACCTGAAAATCCTGAACTAAAAAAAATGATTAGTTTATGTAATTTGTATCTAACGGACTATTGCATTATTTTATTTCAAACTCTAACAACTCTATTCTTTCAGAAGTTGTTGAAATTGCAAGAGAACGAAGAGAATGAACAATAATTGAATTTATGAAATTTAATAATTGACTCAAACAATCGAAATCAAATTGACTGTAAATTGAATATTAATAGAAATAACCTCAGGCGATTTCTTTGTCAAAGCACATTTTCGGAAATGCGAAAGCAGAGTTCAAACTTCTTGCTTTGATTCAAAAATCTGCCTGTCGCGAAGTATCTTCTTGCACATAAAATTTCGTACATTTTTCTATGGAAAGAATTCTAATCTGTTATATATTTCAAATTGTATTGAAGTTGTATAATTATAAAACTCAATTAATTACATCACTCAATACTAATATAAAAAAGAAAATAAAGTTGAAAATTATTAATTATTAATCTATCAATAATCAACATCTTTCATAGTAACGAAGTCGGAGAATATCCGACCTCTCTACGAAATGCTCGAGCGAAATCATTTTAATACAAATTATTTATAAATATTTATGATTCATACGAATATTCACATGGCTATTTTATTTTTGCAAACATTATTGAATATACTTTGATTTTACACGTAATTATTATAAATGTATATGTTCAAACTTATTCTTAAAATCGCGATGTACAAGAAGCCCTATCCTGATCTAATACATAAAAAACCTGGAAAAAATGTTACTACTCACGGGTATAAAAAATACCCGTGGTCACTATGCTCGTAAAAATTCTACGTATACAACCAGTCACCCATGCCGATTCGGACCTTTCGTCCTACGACATGATTGAGTGACCGGAGGAACATAAATGCATGCGACTCACGGGATAGATGTAAAGAACATTATCACCGATGTTGCACTGGAGCAAGGAAAATTATCGTGAAGACCCTCATCAAGTAGATAACACTGAGAATCGCGCATGGTGAACGCCGTGAAAAATTTCTTAAAAAACATAAAACATTTTGTTTCTAAAGACAGTGTTATTTATGAAAATTTAAATTTTAATAGTGATAAAAATTAGAATTAATAATTTGAAATATTTTTATTTTATAATTATAATTTTACATTCGATTTCATTACAGGGAGAACCATAGAGAACAATATTTAAATACACCATGCTAAAGTACTTACATTTTTAGCTTTCGAAGCAACAGAAAATTCTTGAAGGATTAAGGGAAGTGGAGACGGTAGAAGATCTATAACAAAACATTAAACAATAGACATTAAACAATTTAAAAACAAAGAAAAATTTTAAGTTGGAGATAATGAAAGATTCTTACGTTTCTTGGTTTTAGAGCCACCGTTAGATTTTCCCCAAAAAATGCAACAAAATTGATGCTGTGAAGCGTCTGTAACAAATTAGCATCAAACATTATACTTTGTTGTTAAATTTGAGAAATTGAATAAATTGAGATATATAAAGCTATTTACGATCTGGATCTTTTGGAGAGGCCTTATCCTCTTGAGCACTGACTCTAATACCGAAAACGAGCATTGAACAAGGAAAAATACAAAAAAATAAAAATAAAAGACTATCAACGCGTTCGTTTAAGTAACAAACGGCGGACTCACTGACTCTAACTACGCGAATTATAATTTGAATGAATTGGTTACTTAATTTAATGAAAGCCATTTTGCTCAGAAAGATATGAAAATATTTCGCAACAAACTCTGACTCTACCGACCGCATTGCGCGCAGTCACTAAAATTTTCTGAAACTAAAGCTGATTAATCGGAAGAGAACGAAGGATACGTTCAGTTAGAAAATACTGCTATTTTTCTAGAACATGATTGTAAAGAAACTTGAATATGTATTAAAGATATTAATTGTAAACTATGAAGTGTTTGTCAATACTGAATACTGTAAATGAAAGACAAGTATTGTATTCTGAATGTTCGTTATTAGAGTAGAAAGTATGCACATTAATAATATATCACGTCAAATGTTATAAATATTCGAAAATGTTTCACAAATTTCACAGCCAAATGTATTTAAGAAATAATAATATTACGAAAAACGCGTGTGAAATTTTGCCGTGAATCGTTAATCACGCATCAATCGTTTGTGTACACCTAAAGTAAATGAAATGTTACCAAATTTCCGTCGAAGAATATCAGATTGTCCATTAATAATCATGGCCTATCTCTGGAATCAAGGAATAACCTGCACAAAAAGAAACCAAAAATTAGAACAAACACGTGGAATGAAGGAAAACGTGTAAAAATGAAACGATAATCACCTTAAATTCTATTAAAGAAATGTACGAGTTGAGCTCTACCGGTAACCATACGAGTGAAATCGACGATTAAAGAAAAATCGACGCGAAAAAGTTTCAAAGTTTTATACGATTTTATTACCATAATACTCAATTAATCGTTAAACACACGCGTATTAATTAAATGATACTATTAATGAAGTATAAATTGAAGTAAAAGTGTGTCGAAGAAGCGACGCTATCGAAGAGACGCTACCGATAGGTTAGAAAAGATTAGGAACCGAACGCAAGGTAATACGTGTTGTTGTCACGAAATTCCATAGCCGAATGACTTTCCGCAACACGTCTCGTCCTGCAATTGAGAAAACAGTGGGGGTTAGGGTGATCTTGAACGAACGAGACACGATAATCAAAACGAATATAAACATTGTTTCCCGCGATATCTCGACATAAGCGTGTGTTTATGTTGTTCTGAACTACAAATTTCGAGCCTCAAGGCCTTCTACGCCTTATTTATTTTAGAAATGGAAAATTTTATATCATGCAGTAAAATTGTTGTTTTATGTACGTACATTCTTAATAAATTATTGTTGAATATAATATTAGAATTATTAAAAATTACGCAGTATGAAGTTAAAGAATCAACAAATAAGTAGAAAATGTTATAATAGAAGTATGTGTGTAAAAGCATATAATAAAATACGTGTATATATACAACAATTAATTAGTCAATTACAATATTTTTACTGCTTAGAATTAAAATCAAACTTTGGCATAAAATTATAAATAACTTTTAGCATGGTATGTTCTGTTTAAATGTTTATATGCGATTATTTCTTTAATTGTTGAAAATTATGTGTAATAGTTTGGTTAAATTTTAACCTTGAATTGAAGTCAAAAATGCACGTTCTTAAAAATTACAAATACAAATTTAGCAGTTACTAATTTATGTTTTTACCTGAGAATTTTTGAATGATAATTCTTTCTGTATGATTCTTTTGGATAATACTTTCGTTTTTACAGATGAAGCGTGCTCCTTTCTGCCATGTTTCCCGTTTAAAAATCGATTGTGAGAAATATCGATTAGGTTCCAGAATCGTAGGCAGTGTGTTCTGTATTTCACCGTTGTGGCGCTGCAATCGCACGTTTCGCACAAAGTGATAACTTGGAATATAAAAGAACTGATCTAAATCAAATTCATGAGAAATTCTTAAAGAACGGAAATATTCACACACTTGATGAAAAATTATCAATATTTTATACTGAGACATGAGAAACTTTATTACATTACACAGTAGAATTATTAAATATGTATATCCTTAATAAATTATTGTTGAGTATCGGAATTGATATTGTATTGCAATTGTTAAGAATTACGCAATATGAGGTTAAAGAATCAACAAATGAGTAATGTTACAATAAGATTAAAAGCACATTGTATCTACATATATATAATAATAAGTTAGTCATATTACAAGGTCACAACATTTGTATTGGTTAGAACTGAAATTAAATTTTGATATAGAATTATAAATAACTTTTACCATTTTATGTTCTGTTTAAATGTTTATATACCATTGTTTCTTTAATTGTTGAAAATTATATGTAATAGTTTGATTAAATCTTACCTTCAATTGAAGTCAAAAATACTTCTTAAAAAATCACGATACAAACACAAATTTAACTGATTACTGATTTATATTTTTACCTAAGCACTTTTGGATGATAATTCTTTCTGGATGATTCTTTTGGATAATCCTTTCTTTTTTACAGATGAAGTGTGCTCCTTTCTACTATGCTTCCTGGTTAAAAATCGATCGTGAGAAATATTGATTACGTTTGAGAATCGTAGGAAGTATGTTGCGTATTCCACCGTTGGAGCGCTGTAATTCAAACCGCGCGTATTTCAAAATGTTAATTTGGAATAGGAACTAAAAAAATTCTAGTCTAAATCAAGAACAAGCACAAAATTCATGAGTAACTCTTAAAAAAGAACGAAAATATTCGTACATTAGATGAAAAATTGTCAATACTTTAAACTGATATAATTTTTCGTGCGAAAAAGATTTAACAATTAACTTGATTTTATTTTAAAGTATGAAATATCTACTTTAACAATCCTAAGTTCCTTTCTTTCAAAGACACTTCATTTTACATCATACAGCAGGTAAAGTAACTCTTTTCTTCAAAGATTGTAAAAATTCAAATATCTCGCTGAAAAGTTTTTCCATCATTGAAAAATTTGTTTCGTGAGCAGATCAATCAGGTATGATACGAAAATGATAAGAAAATGATTCTAGAATTCCATGAAAGTGACAAGAAAATGTATTACATGTTAAATTTACTTATATATACATAGATATACCTCTGTGATATATAAAATTCTTCCTTATATTATGCTCACTTACATATGATTCTACTCAATCTTATGATATAAATATATTCATTTTCAATGTTAAATACTTCTCTTTAAACAAACCCTTAATCGTGATGCTGCAATCGAACAAAAAAGGATCAACAATCCCCCGAAATGACATGTCCGCGTGACGTTTGAAAGACAGAAGCAAGAAAGGTTACAGTAAACTCGAAAGGGCTTCTTATTATGTTTTTTTTTTTTTTAACGAACATTTTGAAAAATTATCGGAGTGAAGGAGAATGTCGGCAAAGACCGCGAATGCTCCATCTCCTGCTGCTGAAGAAGTAGCCAGTCTGCAGGTTTCTTTACCTCAGATGTTGGACCTCGCCTTGGGAACACCGGAAGTATGAAGAATTTATCATTGATCGTTCGTGAAAACACGGGAGAATAATTTATGAAACGAAAAACAAGGAATACCTTAACGACAGGTGCGTCGTTTTACGTTCGCGTCTAGGTTGGAGCGGTGAACTTGAACATCCTCCACAACTTCCTTCATATTTTACTGCATCGGATAAATTTGGGATCGACGACAGTTGAGTACCGTGGCGACGATGCTAATCGAATCAAGGTGAAACAGTGATGTTTCTTTAGTTTAGCGGAATACGATAACGTTAGAAGAAATTGGTGAGGCTTAACGGATTGCAACAAAATTTTCAGACAATGGTAAATTCCCTGAGAGAAGGTCCTTCGCTTTATCTTCAAGAATACAATATTATCGATGATTCCGGTAAAGTGAAAGATCGAGTTCTTACCGACGCTATAAGTGCGAAAGTGGACGTACTCGTTGATGGTAAAAAGATAGTTTGATAACTATAGATGACATACTAATAATATTGCCAGTTCTATACTTGATTAATCAAATATTTCCACACACTTCCATTATTTTAATATTCTTAATACGTCTCATTTTAGACTCTGAGGCTATAAGATCTTCCAGTCTGCCGGTTACAGAACGCGAAAAGTTTGATAAAGAACATGGTACGTATCATCTGTTATATCAATAGAAAGGAAAGAAAATTATGAAATTATGAAATTCAGTATTTTAAATATATTTAAAATTGAATTATACGGAGTAAAATATTTGGGGAGACAATAATGATTCAGATTGGAATTAATAATAATAACCAGACGGTGAATTTTTATACAAATAATCCCAGAAAATTGCAATCTGGAATATTTTATATATTTTTTTACATTATGTGCATTCTGTACGAGTTTGCACTATGCATTTTTCTGATAATAATAAATTATGTGTAATCGAATTTATAAGAGGATTTAAAAAAGACAAAAGGCATCAGGAAGCAAATTGGTCCTCAGACGGAAGGAAAAGGCGAAACTGTGATTTTTGTAGAACCAATTGTTGACGGTGCAACGCCTACGGCTTTGAGTTTCAAACATCTCGAACAAAATGTAATGAAAATAATTATTTATCCTGCAGAGTCAAGTTGTAATTAAAATATTTATATAGGTGAAAGAGCTCCAACAACGATTTCAAGCGCTGGAAGACTTAGCAACAACTCCAGAGCTTCTTGAACGACTGAAAGGTAAAATCACCGATCCTCTGACCGACGTTTGGCAAATTATTAACATTACGAAAAGATTGGACGCTAGTGAACAAGGTATTGACAAGGTATAACTTGATTGCTTCAATCGTTACTTAATCTGACAATGGGAAAACTTATCGATTTCCCCGGTGTGTCTATTGCGCAGCTATAAAATTGTGACTGACACAAATAATCCAGTGATGGTTAATAAGTTTTATGAAAAAAGAATATTTAATTAATGATTCTGTACAGAGGTTTTCTTTATAGTGATATATTTTTAGAAATTTGAATGAATTTGAATTTTTTTAAAAATAGGAACTTGTGTTATCGTATTATAAATTTGTTTTCATTTCTTACGTTTTCTCTCTCATTTTTCTGATATAATTTTTATACTCTAGTTTCGACAGTTCTAGTTAAAGACGTTCAATCTAAAGAATATTTTACAAACATATGATCTTGTTTAAATTGTTGTACGTAGCACGATATCCCGAGACAAAGCTATCTCATTTATTTTCATCTCTGTAATATTATAAAGGTGAAACTTAAAAGATAATTCTCTTCCAGTTGATAAAAACGATGCAAGATGTAATAAAGGGTGACGTAACGCTCGCAACGGCGGACACGTCAAGGACCGAAGAAAGGTTAGAGAGTTTAGAAAACGCTTTAAACAATTTGGATCGCGTCGTGAAGAATTTGCAATTAATCTCTGAAGAAGATGCTGATGCCGAGGCCGGTGAAAAAGATGAAGCTCAGCGTGAACACGATGGAGAGCAGCCGATGAAACGAATTTCATTAAGCGAGCTTCTAGGAGGGATAGACATAAAAGAAATGCACAAGGACGTGGCCACCTTACAAACGGAAGTTAGCCAAATGAAGGATCAATTGACAGATTTGAATGAAAAGGTTGCTAAGACAGAAACTGGTAATAAATCACGAATATTGTAATGAAGTGTTGTAATCATAGGGAATCGACGAGTCTTATCAGTAATTATTACTTTTGGAAGTGTTTCAAATATTTTCCGATCGTTTATTTTCACGAATTGCTTTCATAACTTATCTCAAATTTCAAGTGAATAAAATTTGGAATTTTATTAATTTGAAATCGTTCAAAGTGTTCAAAATTGCTCTACAGTTGTTGAAACTTCGTTTTTTAGACTACTTTAATTGCAACTCGATTTGCATAATGATGTAAGACATTTCGTATAAATATAAAACTCAACATTCCTTTTGAAACTTTGTAGAATTGAACAAAATGGTAAAAACAAAGGAACAACCGATCGAGGAAGCACGAAAAGATATAGAGACAGAGTATCGTAAAGAAATAGAAACAGCGGAAGGAGCGATTGAAACAAAGAAAACAGCATCGCCTGAGAAAGAAACAGAGAAAACAGAATTGCCTAAAAAGACACTCGTAGAATCACCGAACACACTCGTAGAATCACCGAACACACTCGTAGAATCACCGAACACACTCGTAGAATCGCCGAAAACATTGGAGAAGACAGTAGATTCCGAGGAATTACAGAGCATCAGAGAACGACTTGCAAAATTAGAGAAGGATGTGATTTACTTGTTCGAAAAAGTGGACGGTGCACCAATGGCTGGTGCCGATATCGACGATTTAATCAGCAGGATTAACGATATTCAAGCTGAAATGAAGAAATTGAGTCAAACTGTGGATCGTCTGATTGATGATCGTGAATCTCGTGAGATGCATCTTAATGTTTGTACATTTATACTGTATTTGTTAGTTAGTGTATTGCAATATATTTTTACAACTCATCGTTTGTCAGTCCTATTTCCTAAATTCACTCTTTATTTCAATCGTTTCATCAATTTCTTCCATTTTTCTCGATTACCTATTTATATACTTCAGTTGATTTCACTATTCAGGCACTATTCGAACAAGTGGAACTTCTGAAAACTATCAAAGCCGATAGAGAAGATCTCGAAGAGGCTCTTGCTGACAAAGCCGATGCTCAAGCGATACATCGAAAGGTTTGGAAATTTTTCCAAGTTGCCAATTAAATGCAACGAAAGTAAATAACGAGCGATTTTATTAACTTCTCAGGTCTCTTACGATCAATTCGACGCAGCTTGCGACGATCTTGCTCATGGCCTCGAGGACGCGATCTATAAATTAGGACAGCAGGAAGAGATCTGGCAGCAAGCTCTGAACGAAGTGCAAAAGGAGATGGAGGGGAAAGTAGATAAAATTGAGATTTCACCGCTGAAGGACTTTGTGCATCATCGGCTGAAATCTCTTCAAGATAAATTGAAGAAGGTGGCCGAGGCGAGACAAGAAATCGAAGCCGCTGGAACTAAAAAGTTGCTTAGGTAAAGTTTTACATTAACTTATGAATTATTGATGAAGAAATAATTACGTTTCTAAGATATTGATTTCGAATTTTTCATTATTTTATTGTGAAAGAATTAAATAAATCAGCGCGTTCTGTGCGTGGTGAATATCAACACTGTTATTTTTCAAACTATCTCTCCTTAAATTAATAATTTCCACAGTGAATAACGATGATGATGAAATTAAATGACGACCATTTTGAAACAATTAAGTAAAAAGAAAAAACTTAAAAGATTCGACTGATAACTACTGATAATGGAATTGTAAAACTCGTCATATTAAACACGTTGATTGAATTTTTTCAATTAAAAATTTTCGTGTCACTAGAGATGTTCAGTGCATATCCTGCGACAAGGATGTGGTCATGAGAATGGACCCTACCCATAAATTCAAAGCGGAAACACTACCATGCACTACGAGCATGAAGCCATACCTGACCTACGAATTGGATCAGGTTAGAAAGCAACACAGAAGATTACCTCATAGCAGAAATATGATTCAATTCGAGGCAGCCATGCAGGAGGAGGCAAAGAAGCAAAAGAGCGCGAGAGACACACTTGTAAAGACTCCTAGGTACATATGGGAAGAGTCTTACTTTAGACTTATTAAGGCTTCAATTCTTTTTTCTAATTTTGAGGTTTAAATCTCTCTTCTTTTCTTTCGAAGATTCGTAGTAATACATTAACTCTGGTTTTCTAAGCAAATTAACAAAAGATTATACCTTTAAACTTCAGATTAAGTTTCCCTCAATTGAGTTTAACTCAATTGGGATATTTTTAATCAAAAGCATCAATAAGTTAGTTGAAATTAATAACGACAAATTGGTTTCGGTTAGATCGATACTGGTTCTTGCAAGGAATTCATTTTTAATAAAAAATAACACGAAGGATGAAACGTCGATAAATCAAATAATCGAATACTGTGTTACGAATATTTTCTTATACTAAATCGTGGAATTTAAAAAACGAACGAACTTCATTTGAACGTTAGAGATCACCTGTGCAATCGATACTGCGGCGGAAGTCACACGATCACGACTCCTCAGCAAAGAGTAACGCGAATGGGCCATTTCCTCACTCAGTGGGGACCGGAAATAGTTCAGTTAACGGAAGGGGTGATAAAGGGAACGGACGGTAAGATATACAAAAGTCGGCGAATACCGAATAAAATAGACGTCTGCGGGGCTGCATACTGCAATGAACGTGGAGACGAGCTTCGATCATTGGTAATTATCCAGGTTTCTCCCCGTGTAGTTCCCAATTTCGTAACTAACACAGGTAATTGCATTTCAGGATAAACAGTCGATGGCTTCTGCTATATCCCAATCTACTGTATCGCGAAAGACTGACAAGCAATTTTTCACTAACTCAAGTAACGTTGAACATGAATAAAAATTTCCTCTTTGCTCAATCGAAAATAATATTTTTTAGCACTGTTAGATATCAACGCGAAGGATTTACATTATTAGACAATTTTTATAATTTTTCATGAAATTGAAAGTGAAATTGTTTTACTCCGAATGTTTTAAAGAAAACAATATGATATGATTTTATATATAATGATGTAATTTTAATAGAAAAACGACCAACGAGAAGACAGCTTCGAGATGTAACCAAGGAAGTGATAGAAGAGGTAAATGAATCAAATAGCTTGAACGCAAAGCTTGAAATAATGTTCAAACGCGTTATACTTACAGTTTACGCAAACATCGAGGACGGAAATAGACGATGAGGAATTTGGTATGTCGACGGATACAGATGAATATGGCGATCGTATTGTGCAGTTCATCGAAGAAGAAGAAATGGGAGAACAAGACTAAATGTGGAAAAGACTGTCACTAAAAATTGTTCTAAATATTTCAACGTCGAAATCATTGCTCTAAAATCTTGCATTTAGTGAAACGAATAATATAATACATTAATGTGAAAAGGATAACTCCGATATATATTTTTATCTTTATCAGCTCTCAGGATCGAGGAAATGTTTACTTTATAGTTATTTTAAAATAATTATTCGTCTAAAATTCATTATATGGAAATTCCGTGTAATGAAATATTTAAACAGCCATTGCATCGAAAAGTCTCAATATTCAATGAAATTTTGACTGAATATGTCTCATATTCCACATCCAATATATTTTACTCTGATTTTCATTAATAATATTTTCATTCCACATTTCATATCTCGCGTATGTATCTTATCCTGCATTCCACGTCGCTAATCCTCATCCTTGAAGGATAATTAAAGACGGACAGAGACGAGATACGAAGAACGCTATTTTATTAAATGTTTTATTATTAAGAGGGAGTTTCGGAGTACACAAGACTATCTAGTGAAATCGATTTTGGAACATCGGTGGTCTGTCATGCTAAAACAAAAATACCGAATCACACCACTCACTAGAATCGCTTTCTCTCGCTTATTGCACGTCACACCGTTCGAATACCGTTTACAACATAATGAGTGTACACAGCGCTCGAATCTTTACGTCGATTATTTTCTTGTTTCCCGTTCCCCTTTCGATTGCTTCCGATTTGACGTTCGATCGCACCTCCTACAAAACGGACTACGCGCTAGTGTTTCCTGGTAATAATAATAGAATATCCACGTATACGTATAATGATGTACACGTAGGAGCTAAATGCTACTTCATATAAATTTCAAGGTACAGGAAGTATCTACAAGTTAGTATCTACCACATAATTTACGACTGTCTTGTTCTTACATCACGTTCTTTTTTTTGGGGGTTTTTTTTTTTGTTCATTTTGGTGAATGGCATTTCTTTTTTTTTTTTTTCTTTTTTACTTTTTACTCTACGTTTCGCTAAATACCTAATAATAATAAGATTACCACGAATTACCACGCTATGATCTTACGATTAAAATCAACAGTATACACGGAACCATGACAGTAAGATCATCGGCTTAGAACGACACAATGCAATAAATAGAACGCCAAATAAATATGTACGTACAGAGAGATTATAGTTCTTTTCCTTTTTCTCATAATCATTCGTTAAGGGCGGGGAAGGGGGAGGGGGAGGGGGGAGCGACAATATAATGTTTCTTAAATATTAACATGGATATGCATTATCGATTACAGTTAATAATACTGGCAGCTTAAAATACAACGCGTACGTATTACACTCGAACCTAATCGAAGGAGTTACGGTAGAGAGTGGCAAAATACAACGTTGATGAGAAGAGGCGTTTGACTGAAACAATTAAAAAATAAATAAACGCTACAACTAGTATCACGTTCGAGCGTGATTTCCAGCAAAATCATAGGAATGGAACGTATCCGTAGCGAAATAACGTAAAATGGGAAAATCATTTCACTTGATTGAAAAACACTGCCGACACTTTTTATTATGGCACTCGCCTACGTGTGATGTGGATTCTAGATCACGTCTAATCGATGACAAGTGTCGAAAGATCTTTCGGGTTATTACGTGCCATTTTTCGGACTCGCAGATGTTGATGGACCAACAACAGAAATGCTCGCTCACAACCGTTGCGAATCGAATCCTTACCTCGAGATAATTATTGTAACACCACGGACGTCTCTCGTGTCGCGCTGAATCGCGCGTCGTTGCTGATTTACCCAAATTACAATAGCGACTTAACAGCTACACCGTTACCGCTAAATCGTTTAATTCACTATCACGCTATTCATTTATCATTATCAGTATTATTATCGTTATCATAATCGTACGTACGAGAATATTGCACACAGCGACCAACAGACACGGATAAAGGGAACTAAGTAACAGATCACAGGTGAAAACTAGGCTATCTCTGTAACAAATTCATATCACATGAAAAAATATGTATCGGTTGCCTCCCTCCTCTTTGCAAAAATCTCCCAAAAATAAGGGACTGTCGGACGGATGACTCGAGTGACGAGCCATCGGTAGTTCGGACTGGCTGACCTCGATCATCTTCACTCGCTTCTGCGTCTCTCTTTCCTCTGTCACTCTTCTCACTCTTCTCACTCTCTTCTCACTCTTCTTCTCTACTCGGTCAACCCGGACGAAAAAATATTATCATCACACGTTCGCCTCTCCATTTCCATTCCTCTCTTTCGTCGGTTTCGATTCGCAGTGCATGCAACGTAAAAAATGTAAACTGGCGATCAATTTACCGTTACCGAGCCTAATCGCTTATCAACGGCGACGAACAACCAAAACCCTGACTAAACGATTACACGACAAAGTGTAAAGCAGTAAACTTTGGCAATTGGAATCGCGGCTTCGGTGACCGCTTCGTCACCTCGTTCGTTTCCTCTCGTTGACTCTTGCTTCTTCCTCGCACGAACGAGAAACACGGCTCGACACTTTTCTTTGGCTTCCAGCTCCTTCGTCGCAGTCGGCCGACATTGGCCAACCACGCGTGATTACCTAAATCTAAGTAAGTACGTGTTACTTCACGTCTCTCTAGATTTTATCAGCTTGTAGTACGACGACTCTGATCCCATCGATAGTTTCTTCTTACGCGAGGCTCGCGGCTTCTCGCGAACACGCCACGAGCCACAAGGAACAACCATTATTTGTAAAGCTCTTACACGGTGCTGCTCCGATATTACTTCCCATAGTCCACGACGATCCACCAACTCGGGCAATTACAATTCTGCCTCTCGTCCCGATATCTTATACATGTACATACGTTTACACACGCTCTTTACACATTGAAATCCTCCTGAAAATCCAGAGTTTTCCTTCTTTTTTTTTTTTTTTTTTCTTTTTGGTAACATCCCTCCCTTGTCGATTTCTTCGTTTTCGTTACGCAACCTCTCGCGCGAAAACCGCTTCGTCGATCAATCGAGCGAAAGGAATTGATCCGTCTCGCTGGAAAATAAATTCTACACACACATACACATGCACACCTCTAACGAGGAGGTAGATTTGCGCGATGCTGTTTTGCGGGAAGACGATACACTGCACAGATACTGTAAAACATTCGTCGTACGTTCGTCGGATCCGATCCTTCAACGTTCCTCTCTTGGTACAAAAACGCTTCTCCTTTTCCAATATTCGTCGAATACTCGAGAAACAACGGAAGCTCGTCGCCAAGGGTCGGAACAATATCGTCGAAGCGTCGCAATGAATATCTTTCGTGGGGACAACTAATTCTTTTTTTTTTCTCGCGGCTAATGAAAGCTACCGCTAGGGCGTGGAAGCAAGCGTCGGCGCGATCGTTAAAGGATTACGTAAACGAACAGGATTAACTCGAAGGTCGCTCGCTAAACTCTACTGAAACTTCTCACCAATTGCAAGCTTTGTACTGTGTTTTTGTTTCTCTCTTTCCTTTTTCTCGTTTTGTTTTGTTTTACCCTCTCGTGAATAAAGTTTCGTTTTGTCTCGATCGATCGCTGTCCCTTCGTTTCCCCTCTCGATTCGACCACGGAAGCTCGGGAAAAAAGTTAGCCAGAGACTAGACTGAGAATTTTCAATGGAAGTACCAAATCTTCGCGTTCGCCACTCTAGATTTTCCTGCGGAACATCGTTTCCCCATGCACAGCAGTTCTCTCTCTCTCTCGCTTTCTCTCTCTCTCTCTCTCTTATAAATAACTTTCAGAGTACTCGTTCAGGTTCTGTGAGTATTGTTCGAAGGTAAAAGAATTATCAAAAAGTGTCGGGGAGCGCCTTAAACGGCGCTGCGATAGATGCGCTACAAAAGCTGAGCTATAACTGGATGCAGAAGACACATGTGCTCGGCGCCACGTATCGGAAGACGGTTCACGCTGAAGTGACGAACCATTTCCGGTATACTGTCGAACGGCTTGCTGAACTGGCCCAGTATGTACGCGTTCAGCTCCTCGTTCTTCTGGATACGCATGTGCATGAAACCACGTGCACTTCTGCAAATGAAAATGTTTATTTGAACAGGGTTTGATCAGGTGGTGCATTCAATTTTAAATTAGAACGAAAATAGAACGAGTGTTGCACCGAACGTTTGCTGAAATTATCGAATTGCATTCAATAAAAATCTTAATTAAGTAAATGTAGCATTTAACTCTTAACTGATATCATTGGACATTGAGAGCCATAAAAATTCAGGTCTCACGTTATCACGCTCGATCTTATGTTATATTTTACAAAAGAATAAATACAAATGCTTTAAACTTTTGTAATGTAAATTACTATAGTCATTTATAGTTCTATGATACTATTTGAGGGTTAAATATGCGACCTTTAACTTGTAAACGCCTGGTGAACAAGTGAACGTCATTCGAATTATTAATATGTAATATTATTATAATATAATTATTAATAATAATTAATCTAATTATATATTAACATATAATATAATAAGATTTTTTGTTAATCTATTATTTTCCAATTCATCGTATCATTTCTGTTATAAATAATGAAGGAAGTAACGAGATAACGAAGCGAGAAATTCATTTCTTCGTTCTTGAAGAGAATCTATTTGTTGGAGAGTTTCCCAGGAAAAAGAAAAAAAAAGACAGGAGACTGTAATACATCAACTCGAGTATAACTTACTTTAACGATAAAGAGTAATCTTGTTTGGTCGATTCGCTGTTCCTCACCAAGTAACTTCCTTCTCTGAGGAGTCGGAGGACAGCTTCTGCCTCGATTCTCGTAATGGATCCGTGGTACCATCTGCGAAAAGAAAGAAGGGAGATTTATTTTGTACAATGAGAAACCGCAGTGAAAATGCGAAAGGTTCATTTATCGTTATTAAATTTCAGTCCGAATTTAGGTCCGAATTAAATGTGCAAAATAAGTTATTGTGCTGCCACTACGGTAAATGTTCGCTGATTCATTTCTCCCGCATCTGCCATAAAATATCTCGCACACCATCCGAAATACTTTCGAACTTTCAGCAAGAAACGTTGCGCGTATTCGTCAGTCAAACTCTTCATCTAACACGACTCTGTGAAAACAGCGCGCAGACAGGATGGCGACGGGATGCGTTTACGAGCCAAGAATTCCGAAGGACGTACCCTTGCCTCTCGAGAGGAAGATCCACGTCAACCAGATCGGCGGATCCACGGGCGGTGCTAATCTCCAATGGCAATCCAAGGCTCAGGCCGCCAGGTTTTTTCGGCGCGAGCTGACCGCCGTTTCCACCGCTGTTCGTCCCGTTCCCACCGTCCAGATTCAGTGTCATCTTCGGACGCGCCAGGCCGCCGCCTGAAATGAGTCACGCGACAGTTAGACGCCGTGAAATTCCCCGGGGTAAACATCGATTATATACGTATACGACGACAGTGGTCTCGACGCGAGGAGAACCTCCCTGTTCGCAGATTTTATGGCGTCCCTGTCCCGTAATTGGGACAAATCGAACCTACGCTACTCCAAGATTCACGGTGACAGCAACCGAATTCCCCGGTCGACGTGCATAACGCCCGTGTGCGTGTGCTTGCGTATGATGATTGCGAGAATGGAGTTGTTTGAAGAGGGTTTCGAACAGATACATATACATACACGTAAATTATATATATATTTATATACATCAAACACCTCAGATATCGCAACATAACAACCCAGTATCATCAAAACTATATATGGATATATATAGAGGTGTTTGATAATGTTTAACCCTTCTGCCTTATCGATTTCCTTTGAAACATTTTAGACAACGTCACATTTAATTTTCAAATTAGAGAATTTAAATGCAAAATTATAAGAGTAAACGAGCAGATACATAAACTATATATATATATATATATATATATGTTTTATATTATATTATTTTATTTACATATTTTATATTTTATATTACATTTATATATATATTTTATATTATATATTACGTCAAACATCTCAAATATCGCACATATAAAAACCCAGTATCATCAAAACTATATATGTATATATATAATAAATATAATATTATATATATATATATATATATATATATATATATATATATATATATATATATATATAGAAAACCAGTATCATCAAAACTATATACATATATAGTTTTTTATTGGGTTTCTAACGTTTAACCCTTCTGCCTTATCGATTTTCTTCCGAAACTTTTTAGACAACATCACATTTATTTTTCAAATTAGAGAATTTAAATGCAAAATCTAATTCGCATCGTGCATTTTTTTTTTTCAAACCATAATTTCGAGCGTAACTCGATAGTTTAAGACAAGAAGTTATTTAATTTTTAGATTTCATCCCTGAATTTAATTTTTAGATAGTAATGTTTGAGACTGAGTTGATGAGAATATGCAAACGTTCTGCGTGTAATTGTAATTGTAGATTCACGGATGTGTATATCATTATACAATATTTTTACGAACATAACTAAAAAATTTTCTGTAGACGATAATGATTGAGATAGTTCATAATAATTAGTTTTGATATGTGTCTAATATTTCTTTTCACGTAGATTGTAATATTAAGATTGCGGATGTATTATATAACACCTAACATATTTACAAACGTAACTAAAAATTTGAGAGAAGCTCGAATATCATATCAAGAGTATTCCACTTTTGATATTCCAATTCAAATATCAAGATATTGCAATATTGTATCTTTTTATAAAACTGTAATAGCTTACAAAAAAAAAAAAAAAAAAAAAAAAAGACACGAGAAACAGCACAAGGAATAGAAACGATTAATTTTCTTCAATTCTACGAAACTGATTGAACGAGCCGAGTGTGGAGCAACCTTCGAAAGAAATAATTGTTAATCAAGTTTCCGAAATGGTGGCTCGATCAGTTTCTCGACAGGGCGCAATCGTGTCATCAATAACCTCGTAGCAAAGACTCGATAATCCCCAGTAAGAAATACTTGCTCCGTAGCGGAACAATCGACCATGACTTTGGACGCTGCTTTGTCGAGGTATAATAATGGAACGGCTCGTACTCTTCCCCGGGAAGGATAAATCGAGCCTTCTCTCTTTGCCTCTCAGCAGAAACAATACGATCGAAATTCCCTCTCGTTGAATTTTTCCCTCTCGCTAGCGAGCAACTCCGTCGTCGGAAAACTTGTACGAAAGTTTTCACCCTGCTGCCACTTAGGATCCGCGCGCAAATTGCGAGCATTGTTTCCTGGTAAACAATGTGGCCTTGGATAGAGGACACAGGCCTTTGTCGTGAACGAATGACGCGTGCTGCGACGATTGAAATCGTCGAGGTATTACGCTTATTAAAGGCTCCTTCGGCCTTCGAAGCTCGAAATTAGTCGCGAAGATAAATTGCTGTTCCTTTGGGGCGGGGCGAGTGTGCGAATAAACAGACGCTTATCGGGTGAAATCCAAGTGTCCTTGGATTCGCTTTGAATTAATTTAATTTCACTTGACTTGCCAAATAGAGTGGGAATATTTTGCACGGAAGAATTCGGGAAATAAACGAGTCACTCGAATGATGAATTTCATTGCAACGAAAAAAGAACGCGTTGTGACAATAATTTTAAAAAGAAAAGAACAAAGTGTACAGAGAAAAAGAAAGAAAAATGTTAGAAATATCAGTCGGTAATTTCCGTCTGAAGAGATGACGTAAGCGTACGGACAACGAACGCGTAGAAAGAAAGCAAAGCAAGACGTCTATAAATCATAGTCGTCGTCCCAGATGAGACCAGGACAGACTAGATCAGATCAGAACTGTATATAGCAGATTAGTATAGAACGGAATAGAAGTATAGAAGAGTCGTTTAAGAGTAAAGGTAAAACCATTTAACGTAACTGTCCATAAAAGTAAAATCATTCAATGTAAAACTGAAAAGTGAAATTAGATTATCACGTGTGCTGTTCGTTCTATAGTGCGGTTCGTATATTTATAGTCATTATTCATTTTATTTTCTTTCTACACTGTACCACGTGCTTCTACGTGAAATACACATTAGCGCAAGTTATCATATACCAGTGTCTCGAACCAGTGACTTGAAAAACACAAATTAAAAGTAAAAGCTCGACAAAAGATAAAAATACAATTTTTCCTGTATCTTCGGAAAAAAAATCCACCGGACCTTTAACCACCCTAATCCATCGTCTTGGATTACACTTAATAAAAACAACCCCCTTCCACCGCGGCGATATTGATCGAAACGAGGAATGCCAAGGCCCGTGGCGGCGAAAGAAACATGGCCTCAGCCACGGCCTCATCAAGAATTTATAAATTCTCGCTAAGTAAATTCTTCCGGGGTCTCCCATCGAGCGTGAGGAGCGTCAATGTTATTACGGGCTCGTGAAAGTTCGGGAGATGATAATCGACGAGAGGGTCCCGGCGCGCCCCGTCCGAGGAAGTGGGCTGCGCGGCCCGCGAGGTAATTTCATTTGTTACGTGCAATCTCTTAGCGGTCGACTTTTCCGACGGTTGCATGATCCAGGTACGACGGGATTGCTCTGACAGGTGTAACACCGCGTTAGCCGCGCTCGGTGCTTAACGCGACCCGACCGTTTCCAACGACCTATACATTATGGATGAGCCGGTGCTCCGGAATTTAAGAACATTGAATTTCTTCGCCGGGTGAAGCTTTCAAAGGTGTCAATTTCTTGGCACTTTTAACGGGTTACCTTTTACCAGCTGTTCGCGTAACTCAACACTTGCGGCAACGAATCGTGCGACGAAATGTTCGAACATATCGGACAATCTGCGCTTCGTATTAAGAAAGACTTACGTTGAAACGAGGCGGCTCGTTTTAGAAATTAAACGATCGACTCATCGAAGTTACTTGAAAACCTTGAAACTGATCTGACAACGAGACTCTGACTAGGTCTCTGGATCTTAGAATTCTGAAGACGTGATTGCACGAATCGCGCGAGAGAAGAGGAAATGAAATGTAACCCTAATAACTCGTCGTGGAAAACTGTGATTTCGATTTGAAGGAGATGGCAAATTGTAGTATTCCTGTGGGATATGAATTTGAATTTTCAAATTTAACTTTCCAAACTGAAGATCGACAACTACGAGTTGTACATATAATTCTTTCCATGCTCTACGTCTGACACAACGGAATGTCTAATAATTAAAATTTGTTCAAGGCTGAGAAGAAAATCGTAAGACAAAGAGGGTTAATACTGTAACAATTAGTTATCAGAGGTAGATTTTATTAAAAATTTGTAACTACTAAAAATTAATAATTAAATCAATATATTATTAATGAAAATTAACAATTAAAAGTTTATAACTACTGTCATCGATCATTATATTGTATCGCGCGCAATATTTATAAGTCGAACGTTTCAAATAATGTTGAAAAGTTAATATTTAACGATTCTGCTTCAACCTCGATAGAACGAGCGTCGACTTCGGATCTTCAAAGGCCACGGTCGTTTCTACGCAGCCAATTGGTAACTACGGAATTCGGAAGTAACAGAACACGGTCCGGCTGAATTATTCATTCGACATAAATCGCTTTCGTGCACGCAACACCGAAAGAAACTCTGGCAGGGCCTTCTCCACGCGGTCTTCCGGCCCATCTGACGCGGCCTGCGTTTCAAGCATAGTTAAACATTAACGAAGAGAAAGCAGCCCGTCTACTACTCTCCGAGATTGGCCGTATCTGTATTATTAAATTTAATCCAGTTGTTTTCGGATAACTCGATTTATCCGCCCGAATTTCTCGTTTTTCACCCTTTTCTACAACCTTCGGGAAGCTTTTTCTCCGAGACACGCCTTTATTTTAATTATTTACGCGTGTAAATAACGTAGTTTATTTTTTAAAATAAAGCTTTTTGATTTTTAAATGCGTATATTTTAAATGCGTATATTTTATATCTTTTATAATTTTGTGTCTAGCTGTTTAAATAATAAACTCTGTTTATTATTTCTAGTTAAGCTTCCTGATTTTTAAATAAGACATTGCATACTTTTAGCTAGTTCTTTTAAAATAACAAACACATAATATTAACACGATAATAGTGAAAATAGTAAATTTGAAATTGAGGAAATAAGGCATTCAGACAATTTAAACGGCAGTGAATTAAATCTATGTGAAACACGAGGCCAATAATTCCATTCAGATCAAATTTCAGACGAAGAGAAAAAAGAATGAAGAGTAACGCGGAGGAAGCAAACGTTATAATTACAGATGGCCCATTTCCAACAATCCATCTGCCGCTTCCGAATTTATCCGCAGTCCGGTGACATTTCACAATTCATCCAAAAGGACGAAATTCCACCTCTCTATGATATCAGTCGCGTCTGAATATCATTCTTTTACCATTCTTTTTTTATCAATCATTTCAATTAAACTCTTGAAAACGTATATTCTCGCTCAAAAGTTTTAAATGAAACGAAAAATTGAAATACCTTGTATAACCAAGAATTTATTTATGATTAACAATTGCTATACGTTATAACATGTTGTTATATATTACATTATATTATAATTGTGATTACAATTATAGTAATTATCATTAATTTTTATAATTATTATAGTTATAACATGTTGTTATATATTACATTATATTATAATTGTGATTACAATTATAGTAATTATTATTAATTTTTATAATTTTTATATCATTTTTATAATTATTATAGTTATAACACGTTGTTATATATTACATTATATTATAATTGTGATTGTAATTATAGTAATTATTGTTACACATTATAGTAGAACATAATTATAGAATGTACAATGTGATATGATGTACGTTTATTTACAGATAAAGGATTAATTAAATTCATAAAGTTATATTTCATCCATATTTTATTATTAAAGATTTAATTGCAATTATTTTAATTTTATATATTAATTTACAAGATCTTTATTTATTAGGAGATCCAGCTAATTTTAAAATAATTACTCCGTCCCAGATTTATTATTAAACCAGAATGATATTTTCTTTTTGCTTATTCAATCTTGCGATCAATTCCTAATAAATTAGGGGTGTAATTATATTATTCATATCAATTTTTATTTTATTTTTATTACCTTTATTAATATCTAATAATAAAATGAAAAATCTAAAATTTTATCCAATCAATCAATTTTTTCATTGAATATTCATTAATATCTTTATTATATTAACATGATTAGGCGTACAAATAATTGAATATCCATTTACAAATTTAAAGAATTTTTTCACTATTTTACACCTTAATTATTATATTTTTTCATTTATATTAAATAAGTTATTCGATTTAATTATAAAAAAAGAGTTTATCAATTAGAAACTTCAAATGACTCTCTCACGTCACCATTTTTCTACATCCTCGCATTCTTCCACTCCAATCGCGCTCAGACGTCCATCCATTTTTGTTCCTCGAGCCAGATGACGTTTAGGTTTTTCTCAACGTCTAGCCCTTTAACCCGTCGCCTACAACTGAAGCTACAAGCTAAATTCAAGTGCCCCACGATGTTGATACATCAGCAACTGTAAATTTTCTTTCATCCGCGACTGTAAAACCGAACCGTTCGAAACAGAATGTGTCTCAAAGGCGGCTTTTGGGCGGGAGTATATTATATCCCCCGATATAATATATATACCCGAAACTGAAACGCTCGCCTGGAAACATCCAATTTCACTCGAACGAGCGCCAAGTTGAGATAGATGAAATTCTACCGCGCGGTGTAGATGAACGGGCGCTCGCGTGGCCGCTTTTGTGCGCGCTCTCCTCTCGAGCACCCGTACACTTATTTCCTCGTTTCCTCCGTAGACTGTTTTAATATCCGTCTCACAGACAAGAGATACGTCTCAATCAATTTCTTCGCGGCGGCGGCGGCGTTGCCCTGGTCTCACGGGAAATGCGAAGAGAGTCGCGAGTATCCTTCGCAGCCGTCAGCTAAGAAGAAGACGCCCTTTCTCGCGGCGCGAATAAGCATCTGCGTTATTTGTGTACGCGGGATGTGTCGACCTCGCAAACTTGTTACCGCGGGGGACGAAGTTCATCGCTGGATTTCACCACTGGAACGAAAGGGGCCGGCAACTTTTTCCATGAACAGCATTTCCCATCCCACCTTTGTTAGAGAACTACCTTGTTTTAATAATCGAGAACGACAACTGTGTTACGATACTTTGTAACAAGTACGATTCGTATTTTCACGAGTACGAAAGTATAAATTACGAGATTAAAGTTACGAGACGTGATTGTACAGATCTATTTATTTATTATTCAAGTATGCACAGGGTGAATAGAGAAAAGGGTTCATAACTTCTAGGGCAGTAGTGCAGTATTTAGCGAAGCATAGAATAAACATGGATCGAAAAATTAATAATTATTAATTGTGGGTCGAGAAATTGATAGTTACTAACGTAACAATGATTTGGAAAAGTGAGATACTATCGTGAGCGATAATGGAAACCGTAGAAACGAAATTTTCGCGCCTCGCTTGTTTGTTTCGATTCATTATGAAAGTTAGATTATTAAGATTTTGAGAGCCTCGCGGCCATTATTAGAATTTTCTTCGAACAGAAACTTTATGAAATTTTAATGAAATTCCGTACAAACTCACGCTGGCGAGGTGTGTTTCTTTAATAACAGAAACTTCAACTCGGCGATTAAATTGGATAGATAAGAAAAAGTGTATTTACTTTACACTGCATGTACTCTACGACTTCGCTGAAATTTTGTTCACGCAATAGGAAGCTTGGAAGCTTATTCCCCAATGCGGTAATCTTACGTTTTTCAATTTTAATCTTTACTCCTCCATGAAATGGATTACAAACTTTATCTAATTTGACTTTCTGATTTTACGGAATAGAATAGCCAAGAACTTAAAATACAAATGAATTTTTCAATTTTAAACAAGACCTATTGCGTATCGTTTTATCCTACGCTATGGTAAATCTTTACTGCTGCC